CCAAGGCAGACCACGTAATGGCCTGTTCTGTAATGGCCACCTTACACGTACGCAAAGGCACCGGGTTTCTGGGACAGTTCAGAGGCAAGCCTGCAAACAGACTGATAGCTTGAGAGTCAAGATAGTATCTCTAGATGCACCCGCTAACGTAGGTGAGTGTATAGGGACGGTGAGTGTTGAGGTTACCCTGGTTTACCGCAGTTGCATGAGGATAGTGCTGTTCCCTTGTCTGGCTGTTCAATCAAGGGGGCTGAGCTAATAATAGCGAGGGTAGAATCCTCCCCGTCAGACTTTTTGCAACATCCATATGTAATTTGCCCATGCATTTTGGCCTACCTCGCCCGCCCGTTGTCTGCCGTTGTGTGGCTCTTCAGCTGTGCCGGCCATGCGCTGAAGGAGAGCGGAGGCCACTTGCAGAGTGAGAGGGGGATTCGGGGGGCGGGTAAGTGTCCGGAAGACTACTTCGCCCAGCATCGCAGCACATACGCAGTACGTATGCGCGGCTATCTCTTCCACACCATCGGAAAGTCCTCCTCTGCAGTGCGCGGTCGCTCGCACTTCCAACGGTTCAGAGTGGTTCTCGGAGTGACAGCCGCTGATAGCCTTGGTCTACTGTCTTTGAGCAATGCGTGCAAAGACCGTTCTAATAAGCTGCTCCTTTGCAGATAGTCCTGCATTGGGGGCTCATCTTCCTTGTGTCGCAGGCAAGGCCATGAACCCCATGATGCAAGGCATCCTCGGCTGCAGCGCAGTTTCTGAGCTCCCGGCCCTCCTTCTGTTTTTCATTCGGGGGCACATGGGCCTTTTTCGTTCTTCCGAGGTCAGTACCCCGAAGACTTAAATTTACTTACTAAGCAACTATCACACGGCATATCCGGTATATTTGTATTTGGAATACTGTTCGTCTTTCGCTGCCACTGGCACCCTGCATCTCCATGAGGATCTTCCAAGCACGGAGCGTAATGCTCTGGATGCGACGTTGTGGTAGTCGAGATGCATGAGAATTTGCTGGTATCAATTTCGTACAGCAGAACAGGAGGCCTGTTCAACAGTCTTAAAGCCTGAAGCCTCGACAGAAGTCGACTGTCCATAAGGATGCGGCATGGGAATGCCGCGTCCGGCCATGGGCGGCGGCTGCAACCCAATGGCTCAGCAGCAGACACTTGGGGCAATCTGTAGGGTTAAGGGTTTGGGGTTTACTAAATGGGGTTTACTTCTGGATCGCCGCACGCAGCGGATCTGCCGTTACCGTGCAATCTTTTTCTCGCCCAGAAGAGGCTTCATCAGGCTCAGGCTGAATTCAGTTGTGTTCCTTGTGGTTGTGTCTCCATGGGTTTCAGATGTTCCGAGTTGGAGTTAAGCCTTGCTGGGCACTTGGCTGCTGGCATTGGCATTGTCTTTCTTGCGACAAATTCCCCAGTAGGCCTCGGGCCCCTTACTTGCCAGCGAGGCTTGTTTAGTGCAAGGATAGCTTCTTCAGCCATACTGCGTCTGTGTTGCTGGCTACTTATATACGTCAGGCAACCGTTCGCAAGCCTGCCAGCCTCCCTACTTCACGTTGTGGTGCAGCCTGCGTGTTGTGGAGGTAGCATGTCTTCCGACCAGCACATGAGCCGTGACATAGCACCCCGAAGCTACCGAAGCCGCCAAACTTGTCAAGGATGATGATGCAGCAACAGCAGCAGATGATGATGCAGCAGCCGCTCTTCCGGGCTTGGTCATCGGGGCTCCGTCTCCGCGATCGGGTGGAGATATTGCATATGAATTTTCGAAGGAAACACGAAGTGAGTATGAAAGCTTGCCGGACTGCCGTTGAATAGCATTGCCGGCAGCAGTGTGGTTTGCTTTTGACTGCTACCAGTTGGGCTTGTCGAACCTCCGTCGGGCAGGAGCCATGCAGAGGCACCGCATACTGTATGTCTCGCTGAAAGTGTTGTTCATCTTGGTTTTCGGTCTATGCTTCGTTCAGCTTGACTCAGGCTCCAGTACGCAGAAACCACAGGGCAAAATAGTGATAGTCATACCATCCTGATCAACGCACACTGCTGGAAGCTGTTCGGCTTCCATGGCTGTAGAGGGTGTGGCGCATTGGGGGAGGGGGTTCGTCATCAAGGAACCTTATATGCCTTCTGCATGATCATCGCAGTCCCAGGCAGCAAATGATGAATAACATGATGATGGGCGGTGGCGGGTGCGACATGCATCTTGGCTTTCAGAATTTAAGGTCCAGAGACAAGCCTCGGTGGGTGCTAGGCGGAGGACTCAAGGGCTTTCGGCAAGCCTCCCACCAACGAAAACAGAGAGGTTTTTGGCCCAAGAACTTGCAGCTGCACGCAACGCCTGGAATCTTGCACCCTTGCCCTGCCATGTTGCTGCCATTTGCGCTAACCTTCGATAGCTTGCAGGGTTATTGGATGTTATTGGGGTCAGTTGCAGAAGCGGTTCGACTCGTACCGCACATCTTTCAGCCACGAAGGGAATAAGGGCTGAAAGTGAGGCTTCGTATTTGAGCAGAGGCCGTTTTCCTGGAAGCATTTACTGTACCGTGGCTTGTGAAGGCCCCTGTGAGCACCATCTAGCATCCTGAGCTCGCCTGTCGAGACAGACGAACCCCGATCCCAAGCATCGACCAGCCAGCAAGTCGCTTAGGAAGAAGATGCAAGATATGATGAATCAGATGATGGGCATCTCTGGATCGAAGAAGGAGAAGAAGGGCGATAAGTCGGCTACTTGTCTTCTTGAGGAAGGTTCTAAGGTTGTTCTCCGGCCACTCTTTGTCCAAGCTTCCAGTTTGAAACACCTCTCGATAGAACCGGCTGTGTCCCGATTTACCTTGCGCGGCCCATATGTCTAGAGAAGCCTTCTCATTGAGTGTTGCAGGGGTCAGATACTGTAGCGACCTGCAGCATCCTGCAGCAGCCACGAACTGATTTTGAATGATCCAGAAGCTACACCCACAGAATGATGGAAACCCGGGCAGTCGGTCAGCCTTTCTTACTTCCAAGCCGCACCGTTGCCAGACGGGTCGCGGGTGCTTTGAAGTGGCCGAGTAGCTGGGAATCGCTGAGGATGCGTGTGCTTACTTCAATCGCGAAGAAGGGACTGTGACTTGTGGGCGTGAAGCCTCACCGAGGGTCTCGTCCTGCTGTCAAGCAACCCACGAAAGTCGGAAATGCTCGTGTCGCATGCGCGCGCGCCTGACTGCCAGGCACGTTCAACTTCCACCATGCCGGCGATACGCCATCCTCCTCCAATTTCTTAAACACTCTTAACGCAGAGTTGTCGAGAGTTGAGAAAATAGTGCCACTACGATGTTGCAACCGGGATGGAAGATGCGATCTCCTCCCGGACCGGTACCAGTACCCTGACATGTGCTGAAGTGCACGTAAGAAGTTTGAGGCTCGGAGACTTCTAAACTACGAATTTGCAGATTCGGTTGCAGGGTCTGGAGCTTAGAGTCTTAGAGCGATTCAAGCCTTGGCTCAAGTTGCAACACAACTTCTTGCCTGGTTCCGAAGTGGAACCCTGGGTACTTGCATGGAACACGATTTGAATAGTAGTAACAAAAGGCAACTCTGATCTTGGGGTCATTTCCTAAATTGCTAAAAGCCTACCAAGGGCAAGAAGAAGCCAAAGAGCAACGACATGGTCATCTTCGTTGGAGGCCGCCGGCATGGTGAGTACTGCCGTCAGGCCAAGAGGCGTTTATGTAGCAGTCATACGCATAGCGGAAGTAGCACAAGGCGGAGCAAGAGTCTGCAGGAGTAGGGGCCGCGGCACTAGGGCCACGAGGAGTTGCAGCCATAGCAGTAGAATTAGTAGCAGTGAAGGAAGGTGCCAGAGCAGCAGCCGTCAGTGTTGCGGGGTGCAGCAGTGGTAGTTGTATTGTTATTGTTACAATCACTCTTTCAATTCTTGCCATTATTATTACTACTACTACTCTTAGTACTACAGTAGCACTAGCACTGTACTACTAGCAGTACTAGTACTGGCAATAGTAGTTGTATTATTTGGTGTTGTCCCGCACGCGCAACATACTATAGTTGTGATACAGGGTTAAATATTCCATGGGGACCCAGTGCGCGCTTGCACCGGGACAGGCAGTGTGACAACCAATACTGGGATGGGGACCCAGTATGTGATTGCACCTTGTTGTTGTTGTGTTGTTGTTGAAGTGGCGGTAGTGGTGGTAGCAGTGGTAGTGACGGCAGCGCTGGTAGCAGTGGCTGCAGCAACAGCATTAGCTGTAGCAGTAGCAATAGTAGCACTGTAGGAGTAGTTGCAGTAGTGGCCGCTTTGATATCGACTAGCGAGGACAACAAGAGTGACAAGAGCAACAAGATCAGTATGCTCGTTTCTAGTACATGGTTTTACATCAACACCACCTGCGACATGATCGGAATAGCAGTTAGCAGTTAGCAAAAGCGAGATAAGCGAGCTTCGAGGTCTGCGCAAGACTACCGAAGAGGACAGAGTTCCCGAGCCGCAAATTTGACACGGGACGAGGGAGAACTCCGCGGCTTTTCGGAGCATAGCCCGTCTCGCCCATGCAATAAGGGCAAAATTTAGCAGTAGCATGGGAAGGCCATTCCAGGAAGAATGGTGGTTGGGTTGATGATGTAAGACGGCTTTGACCCTTGTGAGGTCACAGCCCACTTCGCGAAGTTTGGCCAGGCAAAGTCGGGGTGCTTGCAAGAGGCATGTGACTTCAGACTTGCAGAAGTTCCTTGCCAGCTTCCAGTGCGGTCGTGGAGGGCTTAGCTCAAAATTTGCTCGGAACTTCGGCCGGTCTGAAAGCATGTCCACCAAGCCAGCAGCCTCCGATGATTTCGCAACCTTAGCACTCACACGGTGCTATCAAGTTGACCGAGTTTTGCAGCAGACTCTGCTGCTGCCCGAAATTGTAAGAATGCAGCGGCTCGTCGCAGTCTGAAAAGCAGAGCCTGACAGCGGGACGCGTCGCCGGTGTTCCGTCCCCAAATCGAAAGGTGCTGCACTTCATGGCTGTTGTTTACGACAAGATGGCAATCAGCACATCTTAATCTTATCATCCCTAAACCCTACACTTACACCCTGCAGTGCGACCATGTCAGCGAAGCGGGTGGGAAAACCAAGACTAAACCCTACCCATAGGCCCGTAAGTAGTTCCAGGGTTCTACATATAAACCACAAAAAAGGAACTACTTAGGGGCCTATGGGTAAACCCTGTTCAGGTGGAGCAGGTAGACATCAAGCGGCTCCCGGATGGCACGTCCCGGGGTTTCGCTTTCGTCAAGTTCTCCGACCACGATGCGCCTTCGGCCGCAGCAGTAAGCATTCCTTCTTCAAGGCATCTGATTCTATGGCTTAGAATAGTAGGATACCGGTGTTACTGGGAGATGTTGCAACATCGCAGCAAAACTCGCTGCAGCATCACGTGATATGTGCGAATGTACTTGAAGATGAGACCCGTCAAGGCCATGTGGAAAGCACACTAGTATATTCCGGCACCTAACGGCACGGGATTTGCTTGGAAACAGTGCTGCTTGATTGAATTCAGGCAGTGGAGAAAGTCATCGATGCCCATGCGAAGCACATGATTGACAACAAGTGGGTGGAGGCAGCCTGAGTGCGGCACATAGCCGAAGTAGCAAGAAGCGCAAGAAGCTCTTGCTTCGGATACTTGCATGATGCGGTTTTTCGAGGATCAGGCTTGGCAAGACCTGTCTGAGTGAAGTCGGCCAGGTCAAGCGCCACGACGGCATCGCCGCATCAGCGGGGCTTACCAGCTCCATGCAGAAGGCTCTCCACCGCGTGCTATACTGCGGGCCCCAACCACCACCCCAAAGGGACAAGCGATGACTGTCAAGAACGGTAAACCTCAATGGTGCACTGGTAGGGATGATCGCCCTAATTAAAAATAATGTGAACACAGGTTGAAATCCTGAATCTTGTATCTACATGGGTCTCAGAAGCCCATGTCCTGCATGCCTGCTATGCTAGCTATATTTTCTGACGGCTCCGTTCATTGAAGCCGATTTCGAGTTCCTCTTGCCGCCTGCCGGAGGCCACAGAAGAGCCTGAGCTTCTTGGCCTACACATACATACATACATACATACATACATACATATATATATATACATAGACAAACCTATCTGAAGATACATATATATATACATACATACATATACGTGTGTGTATTGTTTATCCATACATATGGTTGTTTATATACGTTATATAAAATGTATATATTTATATGTCATGCAGAGCATTGCATTTTGGCTTACGCGTTGTCCTTGGCACGCCTGAGCTTCGGACCTGGATCTCCTAGATAGCTCTTCCCTAGGTTTTACATGGCGTGCCCAACACTGTTCATAACGTACAAGTATTTATAAATTATAGATACATGCGCACACATATATACATATATACATATACATGTATATGGGCAATTATGCGCATGTATATATGTAGACACACACACACACATATATATATATATAGATATAGGTGTATATAGATATATATGTACATGGATAGATAGATAGATAGATAGATAGTTAGAATGCAGGCTCGGACTGGTAGCCAGGACTTCCAAAGGACCAGGTTCCGATCAACAACATCCTCGAACCTTTCTGCTGACGATTCGATTCAATCAGCGCCTCAATCCTGAACCCAACACCAGGAACCTCGCCAGGCCAGTCCGAGTGTGAGTGCTGAAACGTTATTTTTGGTGCAGGCACCAAGCCCTAAGTCCCTAAGCCTTGCGCGAGTGCGTGAGTCGAAACCTTAAAACCCTAAAGCCCTGAACCCTAAACCCCGCTGTCCTCGAACCAGTAACCACATGCCTCGCCTGGATTGTCCGAGCGCGAGCGCCGAAACCCTTAAACCTCTAAACCCCTAAACCCCAAGAGTCCCAGGCAAGTCCGAGCGTGAGTGCTGAAACCCCAAGAATCCTCAAAGCTTCCAGCCCTTTCCGGCCCAGGGAAGAAGCGGAGCCCCCGGGAGAGGAGTTTGCTGAGAAATGGTCTGAGCCCTTTGGAACTCAATGTTAGGGCTAGGGTTTCTAGAACAGGTTTTTTCCAGCGCAGCCTATTGGTTCTATAGGGCTTTTTTCAGGTCTCGGGGCAGGAAGAAGCTTAAAGGTTTGGGGCGCAGTTTTGTCTTGGAGCTGGTTGAGGTGAGCCACAGGCGGCTGGTTTCCAAGATGCATGTGCTAGTAGCTGCCGGTTGTGACGCTAAGTTACTATGCGTGCAGCCTGCCGTTCGTGAGCTTGATTGTTGGGAGCAAGACTGTCTCCCGAGAAGTTGAGTCGTACCTCATGTCACTCAGGCAGTATCTCGCGATGGCTTCGAAGCTCGCCGAGAATGAGAAGGCCCGACAATGGGACCACAATGCTCGGTACTTCGGAGTTTAGTTCCCAGTCTTGAGCAACGCCGGGTGCACCCGCCAGAGCCTTGCTGCTGGGTCTCACGTGTGTAGCTCATGCAGCGATTGTCACTGCCTCTGCTACCCCCAAAAACTTTGACGCTCCACTTGACCTCAAAAGGCTGAGTTGAGGCCCAGCTCGCATTTGGGTAGTTACGTAGTCCATGTAAGCGCATCGCAGGACGGTGGAGGTGAGAAAGAAGCTGGCAAAGAAGGCGGCAGTTCCAAGAAGAGTGCTTTGGCTTCTCAAAGGGTTTAGAGTTTAAGGCTTTCCTTCATATGAAGTCTTGTCTTGAAGATTTCTGCAGGAGGCAACAGTCTGTTTGTCTCTCTCTTTCTGCTTGTCTGCATGTATGTACCTGTAGGATGCCTTAGTATTAAGAGCCCAGCTTATGTCCAGACCACTTCTCCCGCTGCTCTGTCGATGTTGAATCGAAAACCCCAGGCCCCTTCGAGAAGCTCATGAAGCAAATGGGCATGGATGCGGCGGCCTTGCTGCAGCCACCCTCTTATTGTTACAAATTTGATCGTAACTACTCACTACTCTGTCCAACAGAGTTGCAACCCCGAGAATCTTCGGCATGGTCAAGAATCACAGTGCGAAATTGCTTTGCTGGGTTATAAGTTATATGCGCGAACTGCACTTGGTATCCTTTGAGTGAAGGGCCCTCCCAATTCTTTGAAGGTTCATGAGCAGAACAGTCCGCTCGTGTGCACCATGCCCCCCAACGTAACTAGTTGTTCACCGCGCTCCACCCATGAACTGAACATGCTTCGTCCACTTCCCTGGCCGACAGGCCGTCATGAAGCAGATGGGCATGGACCCGAGTCTCAGCAAGAACGTTGTCAAGAAGAGGCAAAGGTTCTCACGTTTCATGCGCAACCTTGTCTTCCAACCCTCAACAAAAGCCCTCAACCCTAAGCCCTGGGTTTGATTGCTGTCTTTGCGCTTCTCACCAGATCTGTGGAGTGAGTCCACACGTGAGCCCCAAAGCCCCCAAACCTACGAGCTGAGCACCGAGACGCTAAAGCATCTGAGGAAGCAGATGGAGGGCATGTTCAAGCAAATGGGCATTGACCCCTCCATGATGACGCAGATGATGGGAAGCCCAGCTTAAAGCATCCATGGTTTTGTGCCGTGGTTTCTGCTCTCGCTGGCTCGCATCATCTGTACAGAGGTACCTGTTACGTAAGCGGGGTGTTCGACAGTACATTTGCAGACTACAGCTCTGACAATGTACTATGGATTAGACGCGGATTCCATGCAGTGACCATCTTGCTGGTTTGCCTGAGGTAGTATGAACCCTATGATGATGATGGGCGGCATGATGAACCCTATGATGATGGGTGGCATGGGCGGCTGCCCTATGGGCGGTGGCTGCCCAGGCGGTGGGAACAGCGGCTGCAGTGGTAGTGGGAACTCTGGCGGCGGTTGTGGTGGGAGTTGTGGTGGCTGTGGACCTGGACCTGGACCGGCTGGCTGCGGCGGCTGCGGACCAGGCGGTGGTAACTGCGGGCCGCCAGGTGGCTGCTGCATGGGAGGCCTTTGGTGTATGAATATGTGTGTACATACATATGTGTTGTATGTATTTTCTTCAAAAAGCTGGGTTGGAGTAAAGATGTGGATGTATGCGTATGTATATGCAGAGTTTTAAGCCTCTGCGAACTCGATGTTTGCAAGGTGCCGTCGGACCCGACGTGGACTCGTAGATGGTTGCATGCGGCATGCTGCGCTTTCATCGCTTCTGTTGCGGACTCTTGAAGGAACCTGCAAGGAGCCCTTCAAGGAATCCTGCTTGAACCCATGACTGACACCAATAGCTCCGTGCCCGGATACATAGTTCGGTCAATGTCCACTTATTCGCTTTTGACACAAGATGGACAGCTCATAGTAATCCATAGGGTGACAATTTATAGTACAAGGGTTTCTAGACTAGACGTATGATAGCATAAGGGTTACCATAAATGATTTGTAGTACACGGATTACTGTAAGGGTGCCTGCGGATAGTAACCCTACAGCTCTCTCAAACCGCATCTTCGCACGCGTCGTACAGTTATCGAGTCTCAAGACCAGCCAGAAGAAGACCCTCGCCAAACTCCTCTCCGAACACACGTTCCTTGCCTTGGTAGCTTAGGCCAGCAGCAGATTTCGGTCACCCGGGAAGAGCATGTGCGAAGCTGCAAGATGTAGATGTGAAGGCTCTGTAGAGCCGGTATTGCCTCTGCAGGCTGCTGCCCTGGTGGCAATGGCGGCATGGGCGGATGTGGCCCAGGTGAAATGTCTGGGTTCGTTCATCGGAACCCAAGACTCCGAACAGCTCAACCATAGCCCTAAACCTCCCCCTGGAGTTGAAGCCTTATGCCTAGAGGCTTGCATGTGTGTTTTTTTCTATATATATATATATATATAGCACTCTAATGTACTATAGTATTGCCACAATGAGACATAGCATAAGGTACTATAGCATACAAAAGTGTATCTTAACGTGTCGTAATCACTGCTATATACAACACAGTATAGAAGCTGGCACCTCGGATGTTGTCCTTGCATCGAGTGGACAGGTTGCGGTCCGGGCTGCATGGGTGGCTGCGGCGGCGAGATTAAATCTTTGCTGTTTGTGGTGTAGGCTGTTAGGCTTTGGGGATCTTAAGGGCTGTCGATATGTATATATCTAGGATTCTAGGGTTTAGGCGGTCTAGGCTATGATCCTTTAGGACTTTAGGCTTTCTGCTCTTCGGGATGGTAGGCCCCTCGGGGCTTTAGCCTTTCAGGCTTTCTCTGGAATGGTATGGTAGGAAGTCAGGGCTGACAAGGTCCCTGAAACATCCCGTTGCCAGTTGCTTGCGCAATATTGGCTCGCAGGCTCTGGTGGTGGGGCTTGCAGTCGGGGGTTTTGGATGATTCCACTTTGGGTACTGCCCCCACTCTGTAACAGTTAGATAATCATGTAGGGTGTATGTATGTATGTATGTATGTATGTATGTATGTGTATATGTGTATATATATAGTTAATGATTGTACAATATGGCCCTTAATATGACCCCTAATATAGACTGTTACCGGGTGGGGGCGGTACCCAACCCATAGCAGATCCCCAAGTCCTGGTCTAACTGTTTAGGCTTCTCTGTCTGAGCCCTAAAACCCTAAGGGTCCAAGCAACCAAGTTGCAGGGTTCAGGGTTTTAGGGCTTTGGGTTTAGGGCTACCCGAATAGTAGGGTTCCAATTTGCCAAAAGCCATTTAGAGTATGCATTTTGGGACCTAGAACCTTACTATTTGGGCACTCGGACCCTCTTGGTAAACCTAAACCCTAAACTCTAAGACCCTAAACCCTAAGACCCGAAACCCTATAAACCCTCCCCAAACCCTATAAACCCTAATCCCTAAACCCTCCCTATAATCCCTAAACCCTAAACCCTAAACTCCCTAAGACCCTAAGACCCTAAACCCTAAACCCTCCCCAAACCTTATAAACCCTAATCCCCAAACCCTCTCTATAAACCCTAATCCCTAAACCCTCCCCTATAAATCTTAAAGCCCTAAACCCCTAAGCCCTAAACCCCTAACCCTCAAACACCCTAAGACCCTAAGACCCTAAACCCTCCCCCTAAACGCATTAAGCCGTTGCCGACAGGATCCGGGCAGCACCTTGCAAACCGAGTTCTCACTCCTGCCGTGGGAGGATGAGGCCACCATTTAGGGTTTAGGGTTTTTAGGGTTTGGGGTTTAGGGTTAGAGTCTCGTTCTTTGGGTGCATGCAGCTGATGCCCTTAGTCAGCGAACTTAGGGTTTATCGGCTTGTGTGCTCAACACGTACACCCTCAAGCTTAAGCTACGAAGGTCCAAATACCTTTGCTCCTAGGTGCCCCAGTAGTACCATTTTGCCCTTTTTAGTTTCCTCTTTAGTTTGGGGTCCCCAAATTAGAACCAAATAATAAGAAAAAGGGTACCCTTATTAAGGGGTTACTGGGGAACCTAGAAACATCTCTGGCCCCAGAGTCCTCCCTTCTCTTCCGCAGCAGAGATCAAGCTCAGCCACTAACCCCGATTCAGGTAACATAAAAGCTTAAACACAAACAGAGAGAGAGAGAGAGAGAGAGGGAGAGCAGAGAGAGAGAGAGACATACACATATATATATATATACACACATGCGTATATAGCAGAATATGGCCAAAAACCCCCATTCAAATTATTCAGGCCCCTGCATGAGGCCAAGCAGAGGGCAGTTTGCAATCCTACACGCCGCACTTAAAGCCTGACCCTAAACCTTAAACCATAAAACCCTATAGCATGCTGAAGCCTGTCTGGAACCCTCTGAAGCGTTTCTGGCCACTTTGGGATGCTTCTTCCGCCTGTGCGTAGAACTAAGCCTTAATCCCAACTCGTTCTTTCACACGTGACTCTTGGTTGGCAATTATAGTTCTTTCCTTCTGGATTACACGTCACTGTTTCTCCTGGGAATCATGACTCGTTCCTTCTACACATGACTCTCTTCGACGGGATTTGACGAGGCCACTGCCACTGACAGCGAGCAAGCGGCGTTTCGGCAGCAGCAAGTCCAGGCCGCAAGCGCCAGAGTTCCACACGGGCTTAGGGTTTAGGGTTTAGGGTTTAGGGATCATTCTATATAGTGTAGATTATGTGTTGTACAATATCTAATAGATAAGTTTTAAAATATGATGTGTAATCTATGATGTACCTACAAATTATCACAGATATGGAATATCATACCCACAAACCCCGCTTCCCGGAGGCCAGCCGGACTTGGTATCTTAGGTCTGCATCAGGTGGCGGCTTGAAGACCTATGTATGTACTACCTACTAAACCCTAAACCCCAAACCTTTAAACCCTAAACCCCAAACCCTTAATCCCTAAACCCCAAACCCTTAAACCCTAAACCCCAAACCCTTAAACCCTAAACCCCAAACCCTTAAACCCCAAACCCCAAACCCTTAAACCCCAAAAAGCCTAAAGCCTTGGGAAGGCCTTGCGGAGCCTCGTGACAGTCTTGGCCCTGCCATTCTCGCCCCTGGCATCGGAAGGCCGTCAGGACGTAGGGGTGTTGTAGGGTTTAGGGGTTTAGGGTTTAGGGATTTATGGGAATTGATAGGGGTTTGGGCGCGCTAGTTTTGACCGAAACGTCTTGACTGAAAGTTTTGACCGAAACTTTTTGGCCCAATGCGTTGTGTTGGAACCTGATGTTGAATTTGGGGCTGGCTGGTAGTGCTGGGGATGGGGCTGGGGCTGGGGGCCTGGAACTGGTTTGGGGCTGTAGAACTGGTGGCTTGGGATTGGGGCTGTGGCTCGGCTGGGACTGGTGTTGACGGTTTAGGCACTGGGTTTGGACAGTGTGTTTTCTCTTAGAACTTGGTTTTGAATTTGGGGCTGGCTGAGACTGGGGGGGCCGCGGCTGTGGGTGGGGCTAGGGCGGTTTAGGCGGTTCAACATGAACAAAGATAAGCTATTCCAACTTATTTCTTTCTTGAGGGTTAAGGGTTTAGGGTTTGGGGTTAAGGGCTTCAGGGTTTAGGGTTTAGTGATGGGGGTCTAGGGGTTTAGGCACTGGGGCTGGAATCATTGGTGTTGTTTTTTGGTGCCGGAATCCTTCAACCGCCCCTAAAGCCCGCAAGACACATGCATCAGAAGGCCTGAAAGTAGTTTTCCCGTGGTTTGAAGCATTGCCCAGACTCCTATCGTTTGGGTTTAGGGTTTAGGGGTTAGAGGTTAGGGTTTAGGGTTTAGGGTTTAGGGTGGGTTTGTTGGTTCTAAACTCGAGGCAGTCACACCACACACAGCAACTTCTTTGGGGTTCTAGACTCATACCATCCGCCGTGCCACCCACAGCGCGCTGGCACCCTTGAGCATGAGTGTTTGGAGGTTTCGACAAACCAGCAAACGCGAACTCAAGTACAGAGAAGCATAAATAATAACAATAATAATACTAGTAGTAATAATAACAATAATGATAATAATAATATTATTATTATTAATAACAATAATAATGGTAATAGTAATCCTAAACCTGTCGGCAGCATCTGTGGAAAAGGCGCAAGCGTGGCAGATCAAGACCAGAGGTCGGGAGAGGGGCAAGCCATGAACCCGACGTCTCAACCCTGAAGTTTAGGGTTTAGGGGTTTAGGGGTTTAGGGTTTGGGGTTTAGGGTTTAGGGTTTGGGGTTTAGGGTTTAGGGTTTAGGGTTTGGGGTTTAGGGAAGCCTAAACTCCGCATCTTGAACCGTGAAAGTAGAACTCTGACCAATCTTCTTGGCCCGGGCAGGCTTGCAGCAAAAGCAGGTTGCTGAGATTGCTGGACGGATGCACCGCTACAAGGACTTTTGCAGTAGCATGTCCAAGTCCGTCGATCGGGTAGTAGGCTTCACGGGGTTTGGCCTTGTTGATCTAGGTTCAGGGTTGGGGAGTCTGATCAGTGTGTCTATCTGGGTGGCAAGGGGTTGCCCCAGACCGCAGCACGTAGCTGCAACGTGCCCCAACCGAAGAGGTTCTACATCCTCAAGCCGCCCGGAAACCGAACAAACTTG